AACCAAAAGGAAATGGAGGAATTATACCTGATCCAAAGAAGCAGTATCTCCCAAAGTTGGTGTTCATGCCCAAAGAGGACACCAAGATCCGCTCCTGCTGAAGATGACACAACTGTATGTGGAACGGAACCAGCAGAGTGCGTCCTACACACTGGAAGATGCACTTAATGGATCGTGCATCAAACTTGTCCCTTCCTAGCCCCAGATTATGGACAAAGCAGACACACCCAAAAACCCGAGGAAAAAGAGGAAATAGAGACAATGTAGGAAACAAAGTGGTGAATGGAGAATGACCATCAAGGGTAGACATGGGCATCTGGTTAATCAAGAAGCAAGAAGTAAGCACCACATCACTCCAAAAGGGTTTGGGGACATTCACGTGATGCATGAGAGATCGAGCTGTTTCCAAAAGATGAGGATTCTTCCTCTCAGCCACTCCATTTTGTTGTGGGGTGTAGGTACATGAAGTCTGATGGATAATGCCATGTTGGTCCAAGTAATCTTGAAATGATGAAGAGAAATATTCATGACCATTATTGAAACAAAAATTTTAATGTGAACACTAAATTGGTTGCGAATCTCAACATAAAATTTTTGGAAAATGGTAAACAACTCACTCCTTTCTTTCATTAAATAGAGCCATGTCATCCTTGAATAATCATCAACAAAAATGACAAAATATCTATATCCATTGTATGACATTACTTTATAAGGACCCCAAACATCTGAATGAACCAAAGAAAAAGGACTTGACATACGATTATCAGCCCTAGGACTAAAGGGAACACGATGATGTTTCCCCAACTGACATGACTCACAATCTAAAACAGAAAGATGACTCAACGAAGGAACCAAAGACTTCAAAACTTTCAATGAAGGATGACCAAATCGATAGTGCCACTGGAGAGGAGAGAGAGATGACTGTAGAGCTGTTGACGTTCTTCCACCACCGTCAAGATAATACAATCCACCGGCTTCATGCCCTCCACCAATCTTCATCACCATCTTGAGATCCTGAAAAACACATGAAGAAGGGTAAAAAGTAATAGAGCAATTAAGAGGCTTGGTCAACTTACTAACTGACATAAGGTTAAACGGAAACTTAGGGACATACAGAGTGACAGATTGTGATGTTGAGCAAGGGTGACAGATTGTGATGTTGAGCAAGGGTGACAGATTGTGATGTGGAGCCATTAGCAAGGGTGACAGATTGTGATGTTGAGCAATGAGAGAGGGAAGAAAACACACATGGAGTTTTAGTCATGTAATTGGAGGTTCTAGAGTCAATAATCCAGGGATTAGGTGTGGATGCCAGACAAGCCATACCTGAGTGTGCGAGAGTGGCCGTGTTCTATTGAGATGTGGACTAAACAAACCTCTCATACTCATCACAGGGAACACTCATCATCTCCTTCTCGGGAACATCTATGGTTGTAGGAAGTATCTGATCAGCTAAACAACTCTCCTATCTGAAGCTACTGTCACTAGTCATGGCATGATTGGTCCAAGTTGAAGGTGGACCATGCAAGTCATAGCAATAATTAATGGTATGTCCATCCATACCACAATGTGTACACCTCCTTGGACCCGAACTACATCCTCGGCCACGGGCTCCCCCTGAATGTCTACCTCCAGTGCGACCACCACCACGGTTATAGGTAGGTCCACCACCACCACTCTGGCCATATACCGGTCCACTGCTACCACTACGGCCAGACTAAGCTCCTCGAGCTCCACCTCTAACACCACGACCCCTCGATACTGCAAACATGAAGTTTACACTAATCTTGGGTTCCATACTGTTCCATAACCATGTGATAATCTCTGCATCTTCTTATTCCCAGTCATCATACTCATGAGAATCGGTGGAGGGTTTTTCTTCCCTTATGTGTTTCACCTTCTTCTTTGCCTTAAGAAAAACTTCTACAGGTTTAGCCCAAGGTACATAATTTTCTCCATTCAGTTTAATGGAGGTCATTTGAACATTTAGATAGTCAGTAGGGACCATCACATTAGTCTTGCTATCACTGTTGTATCCCATAGTTGAATTCGACACACTGCACACTAGACCACACCACACTGAACACACTGGTTTCAACACTTAGCAATACTAAAAATTGCACTCTTTACACCATAAACCCTACCCCACGACTACCTGAACACTCACCACATTGTTTGAGGACCATTCCCCATTCGAATCATACTAAAAGAAAACATAAACTCTAGCACACTACAATCTGAAATCCCACCATACAATTTTGAACATACTTATGATTTGATTCACAACACGAAATTTCATAGAAATCTCTTACCTAATCACCCAAAAATCAGACCACACAAGACATCCACTGCACCACACGAATCAGCCCTCTTCTCTTCATCGATTAGGGGAAGGCTTCTTGTAAACCACAGCAACCAACCACAAACAACACAACTGGAGGCATAGAAACCTCCAAGGGAAGAGGGAAACCACTCCTTTTCAGCCCTTTCCCTTATCTCCAACAAATGGTGCAGAAACCAAGAGAAAACCCTAGACTGGGTGTGCAGAGAACATAATTCTGGGCAGGTCTGATTTGCTCAGTTTGGCTCTGATACCATATTAGGATTTGACCTGCCCTTGAATCCTATTAAGCTGATAACAGTCAAGAAGAAGGAAGAGAAAGAGAGAGAGAGAGAGAGAGAGAGAGAGAGAGAGAAGAAGAAGAAGAAGAAGAAGAAGAAGAGAAGAGAAGAAAGGGAGAGAAAGATCTGGTTCGAATGAGAGAAAAAGATCACTCTCCCATTCGGCCAGAATTGATTTATATTACTTATATTGTGGAAAAGACACATGTGCCCCTACTTAAGTAAGGGACACTAAATCTAACATAATCTTATACATCGGCACATAAACATAAGTATAAAGACAGAAATACCCCTACATATTCGACACTAACAATATGGTTTAAAATTTGACAAAACCATTCTGAATTATGTTATTCTCTCTGCATTAAAGCAATGAATGCTTATTCATGCTCTATTATCTGGCTGTAACATTTTTCTTTCAACTTTAGGTTGTGAATGGGCCCGAAGTTTTGAGCAAATTTGTTGGAGAAACCGAAAAGAATGTCAGGGATCTATTTGCTGATGCTGAGAATGATCAGAGGGCTCGTGGTCAGTAGTTAAGATTTATATGCCAAATGAATTTATTGGTTATTTTTCCATTATATAATTCTTTTTTTTTTTCAGGGGATGAGAGTGAATTGCATGTTATCATCTTTGATGAAATTGATGCTATTTGTAAGGTGGGGGATTTAAGAATTCTACCAAATGATATATACTTTTTTCTAGCTGTACTTTGATGAAGATAATGATGTAGTGCTAGTGGCAGCTTGCAATATTGTAGCAGTTGAACCTTTCCATTGGCTTTATTTATGCACTACTCATTTGGTTTAAGTTCATGCTACTTAGAATTTAAGAGGCTCAACTAGAAATGGTACTGGATTTCATGATAGCATTTCTTAGAATTTATTTAGCATTGATTGATGTCTCTATTTTGCATTTGTAGTCAAGAGGATCAACTAGAGATGGTACTGGGGTTCATGATAGCATTGTGAACCAGCTTCTTACAAAGGTCGGTTTTATTTTACTTTTTCTTTCTTGGCAATTGGTAGAATCATTTGGACGTTCTTATAATTTAACATGCTTCTACTAGTATATGTCATTGGTTTGACTAAACAAGTAATTGTTTTTCAGATAGATGGGGTGGAATCGTTGAATAATGTTTTGCTCATTGGTATGACCAACAGAAGGGATTTACTTGATGAAGCCCTTTTAAGGTAATCTGTTTGTGTAGTTGTGCTTTATTCTGTGCAGGATCGTTTTAATGTTGTGAAATTTTTCTTTAGATTTTAAGGGAATCATGTTTTTTGACAATAAATAACTAGTAACTGGAAAAGATGGTGTCTGGTGATTAGTGTTTGTATTTCTTTTTCCTGCTGCATCTTTTTGCTGAAGAGATAGCTGAATCGTGGATTGGAATTCTGTATAGTAGGCCTTTTACAAGGATTTTCCTGCTTTTATTGACAGAACCTTTTCTTTTGGTGATTGTAATACACACTTTGGTTTCTATTGGGAAATATCCCACAAAAATGAATGCAGGCAAAAACAAAATATCAAGTCCAACATCTTGGGAAGAATTCCTTACTGAAAAAATTCTATGCATCAAGGCATCCTTCTCACAATGTATCGGCCCATATCAACTGATACATATTGTATTGGCAGGTCAATGATACAATGCTTTAAGTTTTTTTTTAAACATAAAAAGCATTAGGTTCAAATGGGCTGATACATTGTTAAAATATAGGTTCAAAGCTTTAGCTTCGAGGAATAGGTAAGCTTTTACATGTGTTATAAATTTCAAAATATATTATATACTATTTATATGACTCGCGATCAAACTGTTTGACCTGGCAGTCAGCCTACTATAAATAATAGAAGGGGTGCCGCCATCCCAGATTTTTTGCTCTCTAATCATTCTTTCCTCTTCTTCTCTCTCTGCTTCCTACTGTTGTTTTTTGGTGAAAACATGGTATCAGAGCAAGGTTCTGGGTGGTAGAAGCATCCAGAATTTTTTTCTCACCCAGAATTCTCTATTTTTGGATTGTGAAGAAGAGCACACCTAATCGACCTGGTCAGACCAATAATTTTTCTCTTTTTTGTTCTCTCTCTTGGTTGTAGTACCAGGGAGACTAATTGGTAACAGTTTGATGCTATGAAAGGGATATTTTTGGAGGTGTGTGCCTCGTGCATGTGTGTAAAGGGTGTGTGACTCCTTCCTAGTAGGTATGTGCAGCTCCCTATTGCTGAATGTGGTGTGTAGACTGATAGTGGTTAAAATTTAAGTTTTTGGGACTCCTATCTGTTATTGGTGTTCCAATAGGTTTCTTAGTGTTTCAGCAGTTTGATTGATATTTTTTGTACTTCTATCTGTGATCGTAAGTGTTAGAAGTCAGGGGTGGACTGTTTTTCGGTATTTCAGCTTCTTTATTTGGTATTTGTCGAACCTGTCTTGATGGCAACTGATGATTCTGCTACTTGTGGGGTTATATCATCCCAAGGGATAGCTAGTGTAGGGGCTGATAGTATGATCTTTCATATGCTAATCACCCCCTTGAATTGTCTAAATGGGGTGGTCTAAGGGCATAAAACTTTATGTTTAAGTAAGGGGAAAGGCTGGATATATTAATGGGAAGGTGAAAGAATTTCTTCCAAGATTTAGGCATTGGATAGAAAAGAAGCACAAAGAGACTTTAGTGAGGAGGAAAGAGAAGAGTACTATAAGCTAAAGATGAAACTAAAAGATCTTCTAAGAAGGGAAGAAATTTCTTGAAGACAAAAATCTAGATGTAAGTGGCTTCTGGAAGGGGACGGGAACACAAGGTTTTTTCATTCCTTAGAAAGTGGAGGAGAATAAAGTTTTTATGGATCATTTCAAGGGAACCTTTTCCAGAATGGAGGGGAATAGGAAAGAACTTCTTGAATTGGTATGAGATAGGGTGACAGATTTTCAATCTAGAGCCATGTAGGAGCCTTTTAGCATTGAGGAAATCAAAGTGGCTGTCTTCTCCATTGTAAGATCAAACGCCCCTGGGCCGGATGGCTTTACCATGGCATTTTTTCAAGAGTGTTGGGAGATTCTGGAAAAGGACCTAAAATAAGTGTTTGATGAATTTCACCAAAAAGGGGAAGTTTCACCAGGACCAAATGCTACCTTCATTGTGTTAGTGCCTAAGAAAAAGGAAGCTAAAACCCAAGGGATTTTAGACCAATTAGTTTGGTGGTAGCCTCTATAAAGTAATAGAAAAAGTTCTTTTGGGTAGACTGAAAAGGGTGTTAACCACAGTAATTTCACAAGCTCAAGGTGCCTTTGTGGTGGGTAGACAGATAGTTGACCAGATTTTAGTGGCAAATGAATGTGTAGCTGAGAAGAAAAGAAGAGGGAAAAATTTTATCTACAAACTAGACTTAGAGAAGGCCTACGACTTGGTGGAGTTGGCCTTTCCTTCTTGAGGTTATGTAGATATTTGGGTTGGGGGAAAGGTGGGGAGTGTGGATTAAGGCCTTTCATTTTTGTGATGACTGTAGCCTTAAGGTCCTTAGGAACTTAAAACTTCTTCTAAGCTCTATTGAGGAATTATCTAATTTATGGGTCAACTTGGAGAAAAGCTATCTTGTGGGCCTTAATTTGCAAGAAGAGGAAATCCTTAGAATATCAGATTTTTTTTTATTAGTAAAGAGAAATTTTATTATAAGATTGAAGATAAAAGCTAATACAAAGAGGAAAGATTACCACCCCAAAATGTTACACTTAATATTACATAGCGGCCCAAAACAAATGCTATCTCATAAATCCCTGCATAGTAAGGGAATCAACTAGTTTGCATTTCTTCTCACCCATTTAAACTCAAAAGCTATGTCCTTAGCAATACTTTCCACCTCCTTAAAAGCATGCCTAAGAGTCCAAGGAGTCTGACTGCTACCATTAGCCCATGAAACAATTAATTTTGAATCTCCTTCCACCTCTACCTGTTTGTACCTCAGTTGTAACCAAAGACCTAAGACCTTGTAGCAAAGCTAACAATTTAGCTTTCAATGAGTTCACCACTCCAATGGGACTTGAATAAAGAGCCAATATTGAAGGGATGAGAGATCCATCGTATGGATGCCCAAATCTTGCGAAATAAAGGGAGCGAATTTCAAAAAAAAATTTCTCTCCCTTCAACTAGGAATCGCATTCCCTATTTAGAAAATCATATTTTCAAGGATTATTCTTGAACCATAAACTGAACCAGATCTGAACCAAAAGGAGTAGGAGAGGATTATACCTGATACGGAGAAATAGTATTCCCCAATGAAGGTGTTCACGCCCAAGGAAGGATCCAAAGACTGCTCCCACTGAAGATGGCGCAATGCAGGGTGGAGCAGAATCAGCAATATTCTTCTCCAAGAATTCTATCATTCGCAAGAAACAGCAGGATGGCATGTGAGCACAACTTTCTATCAATTCTTTCTCAAAGAACTGATGTCAAGATTGAATCTTGACTTCTCCCACAACTAGAGATCGAACTGGAAAACAGGGTGGCAAGAACAAGGAGGCGTCAAGAAAGAATTCTGTAGGGTTGCTTAATTCTTTCTTCTGTGATTTCAGCTCTGAAGAGGATCTGATTATGTGTCTTCTAAAGGCTGCCGCCCCCTCCTTCTTTTGTTAACCTAAAARATCAGCTCCTAATCCAATTAGGACCTGCTTATCCAAATCATATTTGGATCAGCCCTCTCTTTAGGTGATAAGGATAAACCCTTATCTTATCTGCAAATTAGATTAGTTTTCTCCTAATCTCATTAGGAGGTTTCTAGATCTGAATCACATTCAGATCT